TCCCATTTCTTGGCACCTCAGTTCCTTTTGTCTATAAAAGGAATATGCAGATGGCTTTGCCTTGCCACAGGCCTACTACTAATTGAGGGCCTACTATGTGCCGGCCTGGCAGCCACATCCGCAGATTATTAATGATGCAGATGCATGATGTTCTTTAGGAAATTATGCAAGAGGAGGAAGTATGCAGAGCCCCAGTAGGTCAATTCCCATTTGGGAAGAAAGTCAAAACCCAACTAAAAGGCAGAGCATGAGCAGTCCAGACCCCTGAGCCTCAGGCAGCACTTAGCCCTGCAGCGGGCCCGGAGCTCTGTTTCCTGCCTGCACAATGGGTACACTAACCCCCCATCTCCCTGTCCCCCACCCTCCTGGCAGAGGGTAGAGCACTGCCCACATGGGAGGGACTCTGTCGGTCAGGAAGGCATCTCGTCACGATGAAATGGATGGGAAAAAATTAGGGACATTATTACAGAGGAGGGTCCCACTCTAGCGAACCGCCGGTCACTTTGCCCAGATGAAGGGGAGGGAGAACTGCACTCCCTCCTCCCGAATTCTCAGTCTCCACAAGGGCCCTTCCTTGCGCTAGCACCGTCTGCCGCTTAGCCTCACGTGGCCGTGGCTGCCCCAGGCGACCGCAACCGTCTTCGGCAGCTGTGGACTCGTCCCTCTCGCGCTCCCCCGAGTCCCACTTTTGGAGCCATCCTGCCTCTTGCAGTCCCATCCTTTTCCCTTCACTATGTCTCCATCTTCTGTGGCGAAGTTTGTGGACCCTACTACTTCAAGCCTCACTGGTTTAATTGTTGCAATTGGCCCTGAGAGAATGCAGCAAATGAGAGTGGCCCCCACTGCCGGGTGGTGAGGCCAGCGAGGTCAGCAGCAGGTCCAGCCCGGCGCGCACCCCGCCAGCCTCGGCAGAGTGGCTGCTAACACACTTTCTGGCTGGAGGACAGAGGCCCGCCCGGTGACCTGGGGCAGCCACCGTGGGGTGGGCTGGGATGCTCTTGACGAGCTGCAGGTGGGTGTCTGGCTGCGGGTAGAGCCCAGCACACCCACTCTGTTCCTTGTAGCATGATGGGGGCTACGAGGGCGTGTCCACATCTGGATTCCTCTTCCTGGGGAGGGATGGGCACTTCACCCAAGCGCTGCAGGAAGCTCGAACCCTCCAGGGCCTCGTGGAGACCCCAGGAGAGGCCTGCCAAGTCAGCTCTCTGGTTGCAGGTGCAAGAGAGCGTTTGGAGTCAGGAGCCCCATGTTGGGGTCCAGCCTGGCCACTTGCTTTGACGACCCTGGACAGGGCCCCGAGTGTCTGTTTCCTCATCTGGAAGGTGGACACACATGGCTGTGTGCGCCTCCAGAGTGAGCGTGGGGATTCCTTGGGAAAATCAGGACAAAGCCCTCGGCAAGTGCCTGGCACACAGCACTCCTCCGTGGTGCTGGGCTCAGTATTAGTGTTATGTAGGGTGTAGTTTCCATCCATCTCCAGCATCTGGCTGTGCCGGCATCTGCTCAGGCCTGTCCGGAGCCTCCTGGGAACCCAGGCACCTCGGAGTGGCTGAGTGATTCTCATGCCTTCTCTAGAATCGTCTGTCGGATTTTGCTTGTTGGCTTATTAAACTCGTGAGGAGTTCTTGCATCGTGCATGTCCAGGCTGGAGGAGTGTTGCTGTATTCTAGAGAGGAAGGGGAGAACACATCCTGCCAAGGTCCCAGGGAACACAGTCCAGCCCTGAGAAATGCACCAGCCTAGAAACCAGGAGACTTGAGTTTGTCCAGCACTGTTATCTGGTTGCTTCCCTCCCTGGGCCTCAGTGTCCTCTTCTGGAAAATGGGATGATGGTATACATGCCCTGCTTCCCACACAGGCTGATGGGGGTAGGGGGCGTCGAGGGAGAGTGACCTGCCACCATGACAGAGTGAGCATTCGCCCAGAGTGTCCAAAGCATGGTGCTGACAGAGGTCAGGACCTGGGGCAGAGTGCAAGCTCACAGCTTCTGTGTCACCCCTGTCCAGGAGGGTCTGAATCATGGGGCAGAAATAAAGGTGAGGGGAATTGTGATCTGGTTGTTGATTCTCCCACTTCTGTCCGCTTCCCACTCAGCCCGGGAGAGACTGGGGCAGTGGGCTTGGGTAACAGAGACTTGTGATCCAGCCCCAGCCCTGGGAGCCCAGGCAGGTCAGCCATGAACCTGCGGCCTGCATTTCCTCACGTGTAAAGTGGAGAGTCTAGTGCCCACCTCTGACTTGGGGCCTGTCCCCCGGCAGTGCTCACAGGCCCTGCAGGCAGAGCTGCTGCCAGGCCCGGGGATCATGGCCCCGGGGGTCCACTGCTGCCCCGCTCAGCTGCTCTCTGTGCTCTCCCTCCCTGCACGCAGGCTTTCTCGCTATGTTCAGTCACACCATGGGCCACACCGCCACTGGCTCCCAAGTTCACACCTCACAGTCCCCGCAGCCTAGAGAGGCTGGGGTCTCCCTCCTGTATATGTCTGTCTTTGTCCCCTCTCTGCGTCTCTCTATGATTCCCCCACTCCTCTCTCCCGAGCCAATCAACAATAGCTGGGGACAAGACCACTTGTCCAGGTCCCTCCCTTCAGGCAGGTGTAAAGCATCAGGGACACGCAGGACAGGAGAGGCACCTCCCAGCCCAGGAGAGCAGGAAAGGGGGCAAAGTCTCCGCCAGAGCAGTGGATGCTGACCCTTTCCTCCTCGAGCCTCCCAGGGCACTTGGGCACAATGCTTCCCTGCAGTGCGGCCATCAGCCTTCCCATGACTGGAGGAACGCCTCCACTCTCCCCTCCTGCAGTTCCGCTCTGCTTGCTCCCGAACAGATGATAACAGAGATGCAGCATATGGGCCCCAAAGTCACCGGGCATTCTGGGAAAGTGACACTGTGCTACCCCGGGCTTGGGGGGAGGGGGCCCATCGGCTTCTGAGCACAGCTTCTCCCTTTGTTCTTCACAAGGGCGCAAGGTCGCCTCTCCTGAGCCTCTTGAAGAGGAAATGTGCATGCTTGGACTTTAGGAAGAATTCCCTCTATGTAGGCGGCGATTTAGGAAGGCACATGTAGGGTAGACACATATAACGGGGGAGAACTGCGTATGGGAGTCAAGATGAGGCCCTCCTGGGTCTCTCCTGCCCCATCCCCCAACCCAGCTGCCTGCAAGACACCAACCCAACGTGGACTCCAACCCCCCTTACCCAGTGACAGTCTGCGAGGGGCACCTGCTCCCCGCAGTAGTCCCGCAGGTGTGTTAGGAGCCCTGTGGAATGCCACGAGCAGATCACAGGAGGTTCCCAGATGGGCTCCAGGCCTAGCTCCATGATGGCCTTGGTGAGTCGCTACCCTGGGCTGAGTGCCCTTGGCGCCCCCTAAGCTGAGCTTATTCCCTCCCTGCTCTCCTCCAGTGTTCTGTATGCCTCTGAGCTAGACCATGCAGGATGCTCTTGGGAATGGCTTTCCTTGCCTGAATTGAGAAAGCCAGGTAAGGGGACGCAGCAGGAGTCCAGGGTAAGGAAGCCTGGATGGTTTTCCTTCCTATCCCCAGAAACATATCAGGTCTGACCAAGCAGCCTCGTTACCTCCCCTGGCCTGGTCTTGGACTGCTCCTGCAGACACTGGGATCTGGGCACCCAGGGCATGCGAGCCCCGGGCCCACATCCCTCCTGCCATGTGATGAACTCGTTTTGAGGCAGCTTAGAGCTGCAAGCAGGTGGCCAGTGGCTGGCTATCCCCCAGAGCTGCTGGTCAAGACTAGGGTATATTGGGAAAGCAGTGCTGGGAGCCCAGAAGGGAGGTGAGAGGGAGCCCAAGAAGGGCTCAGAAAGCTGGAGGTGCACTGGCACCGGGTGGCTCAGTCAGTTGAGCATCCGACTTTCAATTTTGGCTCAGCTCATGATCTCATGGGTCATGGGATCAAGCTCTGTGTCAGGCTCTGGCACTCAGCAGGGGATCTACTTGAAGATTTTTCTCCCTCTCCGCATGCTCACTCTCTCTCTCTCTCTTTCTCAAATAAATAAATCTTAAAACAAAAAGCTGAATGTTCAGGGAAGCTGGAGCTGGAAGGAGGTGGGGGGGAAGGGAAGGAAGCAGAGAGCCCCCCCCCCCACTCACCCACTGTGGCTCCCTGAGTCTTAGGCTATGTTTCTGGTAGAGGAGGAAGCTGCCATGTGTGCGTTCCTTAGCCAAGAAGCCACTTGGTGAGGAGGAGGGAAGAGAATGCTTTTCATTTTCCTTTTCCCCTTTGACCTGTGGTCAGGGTGACTCTGACTGCCCCTGCTTTTTTCTGACCTTCCCTGGAAACTCCCAGGAGGCCCTAAGACTGTGAATGGGAATCTTGATTCTTCAGGACCGCAAGGGAGGGGACTGGCTAAATATAACATGGCCTGCCTTATGGGCTAAGTAGGTTAGAGCCCGAGACAGGCCACATGAAGACAGTCCCGGCCCCTCCAAAGTCCAGCCCCCACCTGGTCACCAGGAACCAGAGTGGATCCGCACCTACCAGTGTGTCCCTCCTTCCCCTGCTATGTGTACCTTACCTCTACTCGGACATGGTGACTTACTCAGAGAGCGTTAGACAAAGAAGAACACCGGAAGGGAGTGATGTAGCCTCGGAGGAGATGGTTCTCTGATCTGTGGGCAGCAACTGGACTGGGGCGCTGGCAACCCAGAGGCCAGGCGTTGGCCAGCCCGCTGTTGGAGTGGTGCAGGGTGAGGAGGGGCCCGGCCACATGAGGAGATGACAGGCCCTCACCCGTGGGCAGTTTTCAGGCCGGCGGGACTCTCAGCAGAAGGTGGTCAAGCACGGGGCGGAATCAGCTGTGCAGTGAGTTTCCCGCCACCGGCCTCAGTCAGGCTAGCTGTGAAATGGGTTGATGGTGTCCTCCTTCCCTCGCAGGGCAAGTGGGAGAGAAGAAAGAAGGTCCAAGCTGAGAACAGGCCTTGACAAGCGTAATGAAGTGCAGTCTGGGGAATGTGTGTCACAGCCTCTCCTCCCCTCCCCCCTACAGGGCCATCCGTTCATCATGCAGTTCAATGACGGAAACGCCGCCGTGGTGTCCATGTGGGTGTGCAGGGCGCTGGAGGAGAGGCGGAGCCAGCAGGGGTCCCCGTGACACCGCAGAGGGGCACTGACAGCCCAGGACTGGTCACCAAGGGGACAACCCACCCATTGCGCCCCCTTTCTGTTTGCCATCTGCACCAGAAGAGCTTTGCTGGGCCCGGCTGCCCTGCTCTCACCTTCAACTCTGCTGGCAGATGGCCTAGCCCGGGGAGCCCTCCACAGTGGCCAGCCCCTGCCCCCTCTCGTCTGGAGGCACTGACGGGGGTGGGCAGAGGGGTGGGGGTATCAAGAACAGAGGCTTCGGTGCCCCGCCCCTCTTTTTTCCTAACATTTTTCTTTGTAAAGGGTCAGGCCCCATCAGCATCACTGATGGGAATAAAAGTATTACTGCTACGTGACTGCCTCCCCCCATGAGGGTTGTGCTGTGTGGAGAGTGTCTTACCCCTCCGGGGGTGGGGTGGGGCGGGACCTCCCCTCAGCAAGGATGGATGCAGTGCCCGAGCTGCCCTTCCCCAGGCACCTGCAAGCACCCCAGTGCTTCCGGATGTGCTGTAAAGAGGCCCCCAGCCCAGCCCATTTGACAGACGAAAGACCGAGGCCCGCAGGTCCCCGAACCAAAGTCCCATGGCAAGGAACCTGAGCCAGCAGTAGATCCGGGACCTCAGAACCCCTGTTGTATGCTCCTTGCTGGACTAGCGTTTGTCTATCCCGACAGCAGCGCCCACTCCGACACATTGATCTGTCCTGGGGCAGCAGGTGAGGAGTTAGAAAAGGCCCCGAGCGATTCTGAGGCCCCTCTCCCAGCTCCCACTCCCACGCCGCACCTCCGGCTCCTCCACAGCAAGCTGCCCCTCACTGCCTTTGACCCCACGCCTGAGAACTGCACTCATCTCGGCCATTCACAGCACCCTCTGGTTATCCTGCCGGGTAAGTGTGGTCACGCCCATTTTACAGGTGAGGAACTGAGGCTCGCAGAGGCTTGGGTTTCCACTTGCAGGTCTAAGTGACATCTCCACATATCCAAAAGCAAACTTCTGATGCCACCACTCTCCCGTCTCAGTAAGTGGTGGAGATGGAGAGCCTCCCAGTGCCCAAGCTAACGTATTGGCACTCAGCCTTGACTCCTTTCTCCTTCACACCCCACATCTGTCCCACTTCGAAGACCTGTTGTCTTTACCTTCAAAATGTATTGATTCCACCACTCCTGTCTTCTTCCAAGGCCCCTCGCCTGGACCACCGCCACAGCCTCCCACCAGGCTCCCCACTCCCGCCCTGCCCCCGCCTTCTGTTCTCCACACGGCCGCTAGAGGGAGCCAGTTAAAACCAGGTGGATCATGGTCCCCTCCTGCTCAGAACCTCCAGCGGAGCGCGGGCTTGGGGGACAAGCCGAAGACCCAACAATGGCCTGTGTGACCCTACATTCTGCCCCATTATTTCCTGACCTCAACTCCTATCACTCCCAGCTCCCTCCAGCCACGTGGCATCTTCACTGACCCTTGAACACCCAGGCACACTGCCCATGTACGGCCACGGCGGAGACATCTAGCCGACCCCGGGAGGTTCACGCTCCCTCCATCATGAAGGGCGGTTGCTGGGAAGTCAGTGCCCAGCCCAGGAGGACATCCCCCAGACCCCCTTGCATTTAAGGGGGCCATGTGACGTGCTTGTCAATGGAAGGATAGAGCAGATGGTCCGTTGCTTCCAGGCCAAGAAGCATAAGGTGCAGACGTGCCTTCTCCACTCCACTCTCTCCTCCGGGCTGTGCTGGAAGGCTGGGGAAGGCTCAGCCTCAAATGGAGGGAGCCCAAACCTCGAGTCACCACGTGGAGGAATGCAGCTCATGCTGCATTGAGCCAGAACACAATTACTTTGCTGATATGTTACTGGTAGCCGGGTATCATGCCAACTAACACAGGCCTTTGTACTTGGGGTGGGAGCACTGTCACCCATGTAGCCACGTGGCTCACTTCTACACCCGTCAGATCTGTGTTCAGATATCTGTGAGTTCTGACCGGACCATTCTTTAAAGTTGCAGCCCTCCACACCTCCCTGCCTACACGTTTTCCTTACTGCATTTGTTACCATGTGACAAACCACTACTTTCACGATCTGTCTTCCTGTCCCCTATGTACACTCCCCACGAGGGCAGGGATTCTGGTCCGTTTTCTTCACGCGGTAACCCCCGTGCCAAGAACAGAGCCCGGCCTGGCAGGTGCCCAATAAATGTTTGCTGGCTGAATAGCTGAGGTGGCGGGGCTGTGAGTCCCAGCCTGGGCTCGGACTTTTGCCCAGGAAGGAGCCACCCTCCATGAGGCATCATTTTTTCTCCCGCAGGATCGGAGCCTCCTGCTTTTAGTAACACTTTTCAAGGTGGGACAGGTTTCCAGCTGCCCCTCGGCCTCAGACAGCGCTCTTGTCTTACTGAGCACGTGCTGTTGCCTGGGGCTAGGAAGGTCACAGAGCTGGAGGAGGCCCAGGCCGTCAGGGCTGCTGCTGCCCCAGTCAGGGCTCAGGGCAGGGAGGGCTGCAAGGAGCACGGAGAGTGGACTACCCGGAGAAGAGGCACTCACGGAGCGGGGAGAGCTCGGGGCCTCCTCGGAGGGGTCTGCCCACCCCCAGAATGTGAGGCAGCCACCACCCAGAAGTAACGCTTACCCTTGCTTCAAGAAGATGCACCCAGCAAGCCTGTGATCCCCAAATCCCAAGCCAGGGGAGGGAGCGCAAACGAGCAGGTATTCCAGGCCAGCCCCGTGCTGAGGGCTTACTCCGACACTCATCTTCACAGCGATGCCATGAAATAGGTGGTAGTAGTAATCTGCCCGTTTTTACAAATGGAGAAACTGAAGCACAGAGAGGCCAAGAGACATGGCCCGAGGTCTCCCAGCGAGTAAGTAGCAAAGCTTGCTTTGGAACTCCAAACCCCACCTTTAACCACAGCTCCAGAAGTCAGCTTCCCAAGCATACATATGTGCGTGTGAACTTGCACACACGTGCCCCATCCTCTGTCTAGCACAGAATTGCACACACACACACTGGTGTGCAAAGATGCCATGTCAGTATCTGTGGGAATGGGGCCCAGGGATCTGCTCTGTGACCAGCCCCCAGAACACACAGGCAGAGCACCCCCCAATGATACTGGGAGACACTGCTTCAGAGGGCACACTGAAGCCCCAGTCTGGCTTCCAGGTTGACCTCGGACTGGGCATGTGTCCATCTGAGCATCAGTTTCCTCATCAGTAGATGCAGGCATCGATTTCATGGAGCCCTGTGGCTTCTCCCAGCCCTGATGTTCTGGAGCAGGGGTTACCCCCATGAGCATCCCACAGAAGTGACACACTTTGCCCCAGAATTATGTGCACCCACATGCACACACGTGGCGTTTTGTTCACAACTAGGGTTTGGAACCCCTGGAGCCCACTCACTCATGGACCCCATGTTGAAAGCCTCTGCTTTGGGGTGGCCCCCAAAGTCTAAGTTTCCTTCTATTCAAAGTCTTGGAAAGATGGGGAACTGGGCAATTACTGAGGAGTTCTCCTGCAAAGACACCCCCCCGCCCCGGCTGGAGAGCAAGACCCTCTTCTGCTCAGGGGCCGTGGGAGGGCTGAGACCTGGAACACAAAGGAATGAGCTCTTCCTCTGCCCAGAATGCCACCCCACCCATCTTCCCCCATCCACATGGCCAACTCCCACATCTCCCATCAGGCGTCTCAAATGGCACCTCTTCTTGGAAGCTTCTTTATTCCCTTCTCTGGGTACAGACTCTGAGCCCCCCGCAGGGCAGGGATGAGTCCGGCTCCTCTCTCCACAGGGCCTGGCCAGGGCTGGCAGGGGCAAGGCGCTCCAAGGTGTGGCAGGGAGGGCTGGCAGAATGGAAGGAGGGGGCATTCAGGCCCTAGGCCCCTGGAGCAGCCCCCTCTCCCCAGGACTTGTCACTATCCTGTCCCGGCCTCATGCTCCAACCTGCAGTAAAGCCCATCTGCCTCCTAACCAGAGCCTCCTGGAAATGCGAACCCCGTGAGATGCAGCTCCGGTCCTCTCAGAACTTTAGGGGTGCTGAAGGGGAGCGTTTCTAGGACAGGAGCATCCTCGCAGGGCCCCCAGGTCACAAGGGGGAGGAGGTGCTGCCCTGGCTTGGAGGCACGGAGGCCCCTTGGCACTCAGCCCACTGTCCCTTCCCGGTTCTGTCCTTTGGTTTTTCCCATCTGGGAAATAAAGGTTACAGAATCCCAAAGCTTTGGAGATCCTTCAAAAAGGCCGTGGGGACAGAGGGAGGAAAGTGGGACCCTTGTTCCCCAGGTGTGCTTAAATAGAGTCCCTGTGGCCCAGACCAGTCTGACCCAGAGCCTCCAGCCTGGGGCCCTGCTCAGGGGGGATGGTCAGGCAAGTGCCAGGTGGGCTGAGTACTCTAACCTGGCTAGGGAAGGCTGCAGGGGCTCTGCCTGGAGGTCAAGGACCTAGAGCCTTGTGCTCCTGCTGAACATATGCTTCCAGATCTATACACACTCAAGACTGAAGGCCAGAGTATAACCTCAGCGTGGGGTCCCAGGAGTGCTGGGCAGACGGGACCCTCTCCGTCACACAGGTCGGTGGGAAGGGGATGGACAGCCGCCTCCACATTGGTGGGGGGAGCCCAGCGAGGCCATGACACTGCCTCAAAGGCGGCCCCCGTCCCACTGACTGCTGCCCACGTTCCCCACAACAGCTTCATCCTTAAGCTAAGTCTGGGCCCTATCAAGATGGGAGCCTCTGTTCTCAGTGTAGTGGGGAGTGGGGGGGGACGGAACACGGGGCCCTGCATCCTGGGTGGGGGGCGTGCCAGGCAAGCTGGCCAGGAGGACAAGCAGGGAGCCAGCAGTTCCTGACGCGGTACTGGGGCAGGTGGACTCCCAAGACTGTTCCTGGACCAGGTCCTAACTTGCACGCAGAGGGTCAGGGTGTTTTCACTACAAGCAGGTGGGACCGGCCAGCCGCAGCCCCGACGGGTGTGTGGCGATGTGGGGAGGGGCTGGCGGGGGAGCCCGGGGCAGGCAGAAGAGGGTTCAGGGCCAAGTCCCCGAGCCTGGCCCTTCGTGGGCCCTTCGTGGGCACTAGCTGCGTGGAGTGGGGGCAGCAGAAGGAGAGTGGGAGGAAGTCAGCCAGCCTTCAGTGGTGGGGCTGGGTTTGGATGGCGCTTCCTTTCCGCTGGGCAGATCGGAAACAGGGAGGGCCGCCCCCAAGCTGGCCGGGCGTGGCGTCCTGGAGAGAGGCTTCCAGTGTGGGGCGGGGGTGCGGGCGGCGGAGCCTGGGCCTCCTAATGACAAGTTTTCTGCTGAACAACTACAAATATTGGCTGTGACTTTGGACAGTCTAAAAAAGACTTTGTTTCCTCCCTTGGCGGGATCATTTGTCTTGCTTTGAAGCCAC